CCCGCCAGCCGGGCGCGCGCCGACTCCCTGTCCCGGCCCCGCGGGCCGGCCCGAGAGACTTGGTTACCAAAAGTCGTGTCCTGCTTGGGGGGCCCGCCTGGCCGGTCCGGGGTTGGGAACGGAGGCCTCGCTGGGCAGTGTGCTGCCCGGGTGACCATGGCCACCAACGCTCGCGAGGCCCAGAGCTCCTGGCACGGTCACTTCTCCGGCGTTAGGCCCTGGGCCCAAGATTTGGGCTATTTTTTTTTTTTTTTGCGTGGGGGGAGAGGCAGTTGTAACGTCTTTGGTTTGAAATGGATACATACTTTCAACAATAGGAATACAGTTGGGTATATCTCAGTAGGCAGCCACTTAGCATCTTCTATGATGTGTTATTACCTACAGTCAATATTTTTTAATGGGATGAACAACAGAACACAATGCCATCATTTACAATTATGTGGGTCACTTGGTATGGAAAGATGTTCATGATATTTTAAGAGAAGTGACCTGTCCAGGATGATCCCATTTTTATTTTAAAATGTACACACATATTCTCCTAAAGAATGTGCATATATATGTAAAGAGGATAACACTATATACTGTGCATATATAATGTTTAGACACATACATCAATCAACATAGTCTAGTTTTCTTTAATAGTGAGACCACAGGCCATTGTCATGTATTTTCTGATTTTTTTTTCAATTCATGTTTTTATTTTGCAATAACAAGAATAGCATCTTTAAACAAGGAGAGAAAAATAAAAATTTTAAACCCCCCTGGAGGGGAACCAAAACAGGCAGATGGAAGGGGCCTGTAATGCAGCCTCCATGTGGTTACAAAGAGGCATTGCCTACACCAGTCGCCTTTCCTAAGCAGGACTCTTTCCAAGGGAGGAACCTGTAACCCTGTGATCCAGAGACTATTGGGCTTGTCAGGTCTAGCGTCTGGGGTCGACATTCTCTCTTTCTTCAGCTTCAGCTGAATATGCATCCATGGATTACTTGGATGCTCCTTTTTTATAGAACTCTCCCAAAATATGGAGTTGTCACAGGAGAAGACCTTACTCATACTGTTTCCAGCCTGCTCCCTGCCTCTGACTTTCCTTTTTTCACTAAGCTACCCTAGCTATTTTCTTTTTTATTTACTTGTTTTAGAGACAGTCACAGTCTTTCACTTCAGCTAGAGTGCAGTGGTTCAGTCATAGCTCACTGCAACCTTGGACTTCTGGGCCAAACTGAACCTCCTGCCTCAGCTTCCCAAAGTGCTAGAATTGTAAGGCTGAGCGATGGTGCTCACCTAACCTGTTTTCTGATGCTTCCCAGCTCTCGGCAATTACCCCCCAAATGAAGAGTTATAATGACTTTCTGCTTGGAGCCCTTGGCATCATTTTCTCTTTTAGAGTAAGTCCCTGAAAGGGTGAAAAGGCAATATTGTCACCCAATGGACTATA